TGAGTTGCAACCAGAGTCACGGAACGGATTAAGTTCGTAACTAGAGGTACCACTGTACTACTTAATCTATACATTTACAAACTACCTAGGGATGAAATTTTCACACAAGGCAGAGGATTAGAACATTCTTCAAGAATTATCACAGCTCCCCTTTTGGGTTCTCTCCAATAATTACTTTTCAAATCAATGAATTTGGTAATATATAGACAGGAAAGGGTTATGTCTTGAAGGAATTTCTTAGAAACTCAACTATTTGTATTTAAGTCAATTATCTGATAGTCTGTGCATTTTCCTGGTCCTGCTAATAAACATGTCATTTCAGAATACATCAGGAGTATAAAAACTGCCATGTGGAACACTATCACCCATATTGCTTCACAGCTTTCTCACACACACACTTTCTCATTGACACACTTGCCAAAAGAGTAAACAAATATACAGAGGATAGTTCAGTTCCTAGTACTGATATATCCGTTAGGAGTAAATTCTTCTACATTTCTGGGTATAGTTTCATCCTATATTTCAATGAACTGAAAAACAAAGGAAAAAGCAGCAGAGTCTTCATGGCCCAACAGACAATGCATCCAAAATATTATGATTTCCCACATGGTACAGTAAAAGAAAATATAGTAAGTCTTCAACGAGTTTATTATGCCTCCAACAATTAAAAAACAAAACCCAAACACAAGCTTTCAAAACTAGGATTAAAAAAGAGATTGAGAATACTGTCCCTCTTAATTCTGTCACTACCTCACTGCCATTACCCTGTAACTCAAGTGTTTTTCAAACTTGGCAACTTTAAGACGTGCGGACTTCAACTTCCAGAATTCCCCAGCCATCCTCCCAATTCTGGGAGTTGAAGTCCACACGTCTTAAAGTTGCCAAGTTTGTAAAACACTGTAACTCTTGATGATTAAAAAAAGATAATACAATAGTAAACTCTTGATGATTAAAAAAAATAGTGAAGCATATATCCCCAGGCCACAAAAAGCTCATAAGTGTTGTTATTCCCCAGCATCCCTGCACAGCTATGCCAGAGGCTGGTGGCAGGAAATCAAGTGAGTGTGTTTCTGTAAATAAAACAGCGCATGGGCAGGCTTTAAGTGGCCTCTTTCCATGCTGCTTTAGCCCAAATGGCTCCGTATGCATCATAGGATGGGTCCCTCGGCCAGAAGAGTTCAGCACTTACCCAAGTTCTGTCATCCCATCCATGAATTCCACCCTTAAGAATTCGCACTGCGTCGCAGCTCTGAACTTCCAGGCAATTATCAAGACACTAATACTAGCAGGGTCTAGTGCCAAGTCATCACAAAACTGCTGTATGCCATCTATACCAATTTTATTCTCATCTTGAGGATCTTAAGGTTTAAAAGTGAAACAAAAATAAATAAGTAAGTAAATGAACATTTAAAATTTCTTGGAAATATGTATTCCAGCAAGAATACAGCTAGGTGTTATTTCAAAACAAATCATGTGAATGAGAAACTAATTTCTGACTCAAGGGACATTAACTGCTGGCAGATGCCATTTAACATTAATCTTTGCTGTAGCAATTTAAAATGTGCAGGAAGTGTCTCATAGCCCTTCTCTTGCCTGGAATCACAACTGCAATTTAAAATGGGTCAGTTTTCTGTTTCACGCAGGAGAGAGAATAAATCACAATTCACCTCTCATGAAGGACTCATTTTATCCATTTCCCTGCAAGTCCAGGTTAAGATGCAGCTCAGAATAGAAGACTCTGGGTAGAAGAAAAAGCACTGGCTTGACAAATGATTATTAGGAAAGTCAGAGTAGGAATGTGGGTAGGTTCAGGTAACTAGATCAAACATAAGAAAGAATGTAGCTTTGGTGCTAGAAATCAGAAAGTCCCCAAACTTTTGCTGTGAATCACTAACAATATTTACACATCGCAGCAAAATATAATCTGTTAAACTATGGTTACTGTATAAACTAAAAATGTTTGAATTCAGAAAGCATGCTCTGTCAACCCCCCCCCAAACAAATAATGCTATAGCAAGAAATGAGCAATGTCCTCTGAGTTGGGGGGGGCTTCAATTTAGTCTCCTAACCAACCAAGGGGAAAGGAGGCCTTCCAGGGATATCAGTGGAAGAGGCAGGGGCTCATATTTGGGGCTCATATTTCAAGTAATTTTGGGTTGGGGGTTAAGGGTAAAAATGAGAGCAGTTCACTTTCCAGAAGCTTTCCACTCCCATTCCCATCCTTATTTTTCTAAAGGAAAAAAAATGGGGGAGGGGATCATGCTTCAGAAAGTTTATCATTTTGGCTGAATTTCAGAGATGTGATTTTGAGTCTTACAGGGTTATAAGTATCCCATGAGATGCATACCCTTAATTTAGCAAGGCATTTGAACCTAGCTACTTAGGAACCCTTTTCAATCTCAAACTCCCTGGGTTCAAGTTCACCCTCAATCAAGAAGCCCACTGGGTGAAGTTAGTCACCAACTTTTGCCCATCCAGAGTCATGTACTTGAGACGGGCAGCTGTATAGAATGAATGAATGAATGAATGAATGAATGAATGAATGAATGAATGAATGAATGAAATGTTTTCCACATGTATTGTAATAACATAACAGAAGATAAATATGTTTGTTGCCCTAAGCTCCTTGGAGGAAGAATGGGAGAAAGTTTAAATAGTTAAATAAATAAACCTTGTTGTAACATGTAACAGCTAAATGCCTATCCCTCTCAGTCGCAGTTTACCCCCACTGAAACCAACATCTATAGCTAAGGTGAAGCATTCAGAATGTTAACAAAAAACTTTTTACTCACCTTTATATCTGTTATATAGTTGCTCTAATTTCTTTCGGTCCAATGATCCCTTAACATTTTCTCGTATATACAGTTCAGGATTTTGAAAAAAATTATCTGTTGCAACATCTAGCTTCCAATCATTCTGGGATAGACAATTCACTGCTGTTTTTTCACTAGATTGCGTGAAGATCATAAACTGCCGAACTTTATCTTTTTGTGATGACTTCAACTTGTTCTAAAAAAGTTTGAAAAGAAGAGCAGTGCTTTACCCTGAGAATAAATATCTCAAACGAAAACTTCACAAATGATAAATGTGGTTGATAGAGAAGTAAGGCAGACATTCAGAAAGCCTGACAGGAGTATTGATTCCTTAACTTTGCCAGATGAGTTCAAAAGTTACTTCCAAGTCACATTGTTCATCACTGCTCTAAACACCTCACAAGTCAAATAAGCTCACTACATGATGGAATTAACACTGAAATACTCTGAGATATTTCTCTTCCCCAACTGTAATAGCAACAACATGATTTATGGGCTCATCCAGGTAATTCAGGATAGACAAAGAAGAGCGAAGGAAACATCCTTCACAATATCTGCCAAAGGTTCCACAAAGTGCAAGGTTTAAAAAGGATATTAACAGACAATAAGGATAATTACCAGGAGTATCTGTTGAGTATGGTCAAAAAAGTCAAGATGGCCACTGCAACGGTGTGATTGAAGCTCCACCTGTTTGCTTTGATTTTTTTTAGCCATACTCGTGGACACTCCTGACACACACATATCCAAATTGATCCATTAGCTTTCAGAAGCTGATTGATTTGGGAATACAGTAGAACAGCTTAATGAGAAGGCTAATATACCATCCCTTGTTTCCAAGAGGCCATCAACTGATGGGGTGCAGGAGAAAAAGTTTTGATTGAGGGTTATGTGTGGAAAAATAAAAAAAGAACTAATATCAAAATTCAATACCATGCAGAGTGATACGTATATGACTTTTAAGATTACACTGTCACTGAAGTTGTATTTTTCCACCTTTGCAGTGAAGCTATAAACACAATTCTCAAGACTGTGTGACTGTGGATAGGCATCATACTAACAACTGTTAACTCTGTACCATGACTGGAAACACCATCAACTAAGCCATTCAATATCATCAACTGGTGGGAAAACTTTCCTATGAAAGGCATACATATGACAAAACAAGCACTTAGCCATATTCATCTATGGTTACCCATTTTTCCCTGGTTTAAGTAGGCAAGTGTAGAAGTCACAAATTGTACCTCCCTGAAAAAATGTTCCTCACAGCCCTTAACTCACAGTAGGGTACAACAGAAGTTGGGGTATCAAATTTACCTAGCAACAGACTTCTTCTTCTCATTCTTCCTGTTTATAAATAATGATTAAATATCTATATTTTATTATTTAAGTGTTTATCTCTTGCCTTCCTATTTAAATCTTCAAGTCAACTAACAAAACACAACTATGGCCATATAATATGCTATTCTAAACAAATACAAATAAACCATTTTATGGCACCCAGATTTGAGATTCAGAGGTGAAAACTTGTATGCCCGAATTAATTTCTTTACACTATATTGTCAGTTTAATGTAATTTTCCTCTTCCTCTTGAGTGATTCTGCTATTTTATTTTTGATTTAGCTGTTAATTTTTCTATATTGTTTTTGCTGAATTTATATATGCTTCATCTGACTCTTCAATGACTGTAAATAAAAATACTACTACTAAATATTATGGCATACCATGATAGCCTGGTTCACACAACACACTAAGACACAAACTACACCATTCCATTTTAGCCCAGTGTCTTGTACAAAACCAGCTATTGTCTATCAATGAAACAGAAAGAATATTAGCAAGCAATAGATGTAAACCTTTTAGTTCCCCAGTACACAGTAGTTGAAAACTGTAACATGAGTTCTGCCTACATATATCTGCCTGTCTTAGCTAGCTCCACCTTTGGCCAGCTGGCATGAACTGATGGCCCAGAGTGCAGAGAAATGGTGACAGAGAACAGGACCATGGAAGAAATGTGCCTGAGATAGTAAAGCTGCTTCTCTTCCCCGTTCTGGGAATATAAAATAAGAGATCATGCTGAAAATTACAATATGGAAACACTATATGTTTATCATAGGATATCACCTTATATTATTTTGGATAATAATATACCTCATTTTACTTATTATAAGGGACTCCAATTTACCCTATCTTTTAATAAGATATTTCTTTTACGTAACTTCACATTTTTAAAATATATTCATTTAAAATGATTTATATAACCACCCACCTCACAATAGTGACTTTGGGAGATGTACAAAGATTAAAAACAAAAACAAAAAGATATAACCCATGATACCCAAGGTTAAACAACAACCCCCAAATCAAAAAAGAACACATGGCCAGTAGAGTTTGCCCAACCTCCTGGCCCAAACACCGGTGGAGCAACCAGGTCTTCAAAGCTTTACAAAAGGCTAACACGGTTGGGGCCATCCAGATTGCGAAGGGATGCTGTTCCACACGGCAGGCATGACTTCAGGGTCCAACAAGACGTCATTGTTTGATGAAAGGGATCTGGAAAATGCCCTCCCTACTAGACCTGGTGGAATGGGCAGAAACAATGGGGGACAGGAGGCCCGTCTAATCGAAGGAGAAAATTGTGAGCCACAAGTCAAATCCAAATGACTCATCCGTACAGTTTTCTTGGTGGTGTTACAGAAATGGTTTGTCATTGTCTCCCAGGCAATGCCAATGGCACTGGAATTCTAAATTGTTCCCCCTGTTCAAGTACGAACTGTGGCTGATTCTGCTTAGTTTCTGAGATCAACCAAGGTTGGCTAAATGCTGGCTACGGTTCAAATACACCTTGCCAGAGATGGAGAAATGGTCGATCCCAGGAAGCTAAATGCAGAGACAATAAATTAGTCTAAGGAAAAACATCCTGGGTGTGGGCTTTGAAGGTAAAGTTAAATGCGCCTAAATACTAAGTACCAAAAGAGTCTTGGTACACTCGTTATATTTCCGGAAGATTTTTACATGCTGTCTTGGGCACAGCATCACTGAGGTAACACGTGTCAAGGAAGTGTTCAGATATACAGTATAATCAGGAAAGTTTTGAAATAATATAAACTCATTTACCAATATGCTGTAAACTAAATTACAATGCAATTTTCAGACTACATGCTTCAGTCTAATTATATGAAGAGTGCACTATAAAGAAACTTGGAGATTTCAACCTATAAATACAGATGTTTAAAACTCCAATGACTTTTTAAAAATTCCTAATGGCAAAAAAAAATGCATGGGATCTAAAGTGTCTTTCAGTATGAAACCTACCCATTTAGGAAAACAGGTGCAAACCTCAACCTATTTCAAAATAAGAGTTACTGGATTCTTAAGTTGTTGATTTAAGTATGTGGATGTTATAAGCTGAAACCCAACATCTGAATAAGGCCCACATTCTCATCCCTGCCTCAAACAGTGACTGACTGAATCTAGTACTAAGGTTTTGTGGAATATAGCCATTTCCATCAAATTCATTAAAAAATATTCTTCAACTTCCTAGGGTTATTCCAAATATAAGCATATATGAGATATATGCAGAAGGTCATGACACCGTGTCAACAGGTCATTATACTATTCAAGTAAACAAGACCTAAATAGCATAGTGCATTCCACCAGTCGTTAATGATGATGTCATTTACTTTTCAAGGTGTGTAATGCTAGTTTACACCAAGAGTGGAAAACAGAGTTAGAGCCTGAATTAAATTCAGACTGAACTAAAGTTGCCAATATATTCTAATTCTGCAATTTCAAACCAGATCCTCATAGATTTCTGCTGGAGAATGGGGGCATTTGAGATGAAATAAAGTATCAAGATGATTCAAATACTGCCTCATTTTCTTCTGAAAGTGTGTTAGATTTTGGTCTACTTTTTATTTTTGTAGAAAACTGTTTCTTTTATAAGAAATAAATAAACCAACCCTGGTGTAATTATTATTACTGTATTAAATTGTTGTTGTTATCATTATTCTTAAATTGTTAGTAGATCCTGCAAGCAAACTCCTGAGAAGATGTTGGGAAAAAGTTTGCATTTATGTTTGCTGCTGTACCTAGGTTTTTAGTCTGGCCTACCCAACAGACTAAATTTGTTTAATCCATAAACTGCAATTGCTTGGATTCATATACCTAAAGTTTACTGAGCATAATTCCTGGTTTCATAGACCACTCTTATCCCCAAACCAACCTACCACATTACAGCTTCATCTGTTGGATGAAACCTGCAATCAGAATCTGTATCAGGGGCTCAGTGGATGAAAGAATTAATGTATGTGTTAAAGTTATATTCCAACAACAACTTTGTGAGGTAGGTTGGGCTGAGAGAGAGTGACCAACTCCCAAGCACCGGGTGAATTTCCACCACTTAAACTGGATTTAAATTTGCACCTCTCAAATCCTAATAGCACCATAGCCATCAGACCATAGCAGCTAGCAGGAATTCCTGCACCTTCTGAAGATCAAGCCACCCGGAATCCGGTAGCACCTTTTCCCATGAACATATTTCACAAATGTGCCGGGCATAACGTTCTGTGCAGCTCATGAAAGTGGGTGCTTTTTTTATGAAATCGGTGGGTGGGAAAAGGTGAGACCCCTGATGTTTTGCCACCTTGGGTTAATCCGGCAATCCTCCTGCAAGGAAGACCAGCAATTGCCACACTGCCCGCCCCCCCATCCATCTCTTCCCCCCCTTTCCCTTTGCACTTTTGCAGGGGGGAAAGAGCCATCACCTCCCTGACGCCAACTACCCGCCCCCCATCTCTGAAAGAGGGGGCTACCCCCGAGAGCGCCCCTGCCTCTGGCTGGTTGGGGTGAAAAGGAAATCTCCACACACACCTCTTACACAACCCACAAAGGCTTCTGCCTCCCACAGACACACAGAAGACACCTCTGAGCTCCGCAGCTGACGCGGGGCCCGCGGGGCGGGAGACCCCGACCCCAAAGGCCCCCAACACACCATCCCGCAAGGGCGCGACCCCGGGTCCCGGCAGGCCGAGCCGGGCGCGGGAGAAG